ACAGAGATTCCCTGGTGAATGCCCATTAATAAACCATTCAGTAACCATGAAACATTATGTAACCCATGAAATAAGCAGTAGATAACCATTAAACGGCAATTCTTAAATAAGCATAAATAACTCTTAAGCAACGATTAAATAACCGTTCAAAAAGTATAAAACAACCGTTCCATCACCATTAGAATCATTAGATAACAATTCAATAATCATCGAATCAATGTTAAATAACTATGAAATACACATTAAGTTGCCATTCAAGATCCATTCAGCATCCATTGAGGCAAGCATTAATCTACCATGCAATGACCACTATTAAGCAAAAACAAAGTACTCTGTGAATAACCATTCAATAACCATAATTAACCATCAAGTAATCATTAAATAACCATTAAATAACCAGAATTAACCATAAAGTAATCATTGAATAACCATTCAATAACCATTCAACAACCATAATTAACCTTTAGGGAATCATTCAATAAGCATTCAATAAACATGATTAAACATTAAATTACCATTCAATAACGATTCAATCACCATTAAGCAACCATTCAAACACCATCAATAAGCGCGTTAAGTTGCCATTCAACAACCCGTCAATAGCCATTAAGGTCATCATCATGAAAACAAACAAATAAATAACAGCTAAAGACAATAATAGATTCAATAGATAATCCACCAATGGAGGATAACCAATTCATTATTAGAGCAACTCATTAACTCATCCACGGAAACTGTTAAGCACACCAGTGATCACCTCGAATCATTATATAGCCATTACATAACCATTATAATCACCATTGTAATGACCATCTGGATCGTGGTGCTATAACCATTTTGAAAAATATGAGTTCGTCAATGGGAAGGATGACATCCCATGTATGATGGAAAATAAAAGTCATGTTCCAAACCACCAACCAGAACTAACATAGATGCCAGAGACATCGTTCCTCTAAGTGTCAAATCCAACAGAGATTCCCTGGTGAATGCCCATGAATAAACTTGCCATTCAGCAATAAACCAGTCATAGATTACCAATTGATTAGCCACTAGTATCCCATTATCATCCCATCATTATCTCATGATCATATCTTATAATGACCATTAGGTACCATTGAGTCACCATTTTTTCGGAGGATCACTTCACCAAGGGCCCCCATCATGGCCATCCCATGGCCATCCCCTCCTCCAAGGGCGTGGTGACCGTCACCACCTCGCTGCCACGGGAGCCTTCCAACATGGGCGCTCCCGTGTCCTGGCGGCGACGGGGCGGTTCTCCGGCCGGAAAAACGGGGAGTTGAACCACTCCAAAAGGCGATTCAATATGATTTAAATATGATTTAAATATGATTTAAATATGATTTAAATATGATTTAAATATGATTTAAATATGATTTAAATATGATTTAACTATGATTTAACTATGATTTAAATATGATTTAAATATGATTTTAAATATGATTTAAATAAGATTTAAATAAGATTTAAATATGATTTAAATATGATTTAAATATGATTTAAATATGATTTAAATATGATTTAAATATGATTTAAATATGATTTAAATATGATTTTTCATGATTTTACATTATTGGATATGACTTAACATGATTTAACCTCATTCAACATGATTTAAAACCGCCAAAAATGATGGCTTAACCACCAAGATTCACCACATAAAATGACGGCTTAACCACCGGTGAATTTATCATTTGCCCAACAAACCTGTGATGAGTTTGGCCAACCAGCATGGATATCTAATATTGTCTAATCATCTAATAATCATCTAAGACATGGGTTTCACCCGGACAAAACGGAGATACCCACTAGCAATGGGTCTGGTCTTACGGCTAGAAAAAGGACATCTTCAGCTCTAGGACCTTGACGTTTGAAGCATGCCCACGTCAGCTCTTCGCTGCATGTGGAGGCGTCCCAAAATGGAAATTCGTACCCACCTTTCATTTCCGTCAAACCATCTATTGAATCTTGAAATGTTATATCATATCCTTTAAAAATTAAAAGATCCCCCTTTTGGGTACTTGTTTAGCCGGCACCCTGGTCTTTTGCCATCAGTTGCCCATCCAAATGCCCTTCCTCGAAAGCTAATCTGTAGACATCATCAAAGTGGTCTACGAAATGCGCTGTCAGACCTGCACACGGCTGATACACTGCCGTCAACCTTTATCATACCTACATCTCAGTGATCTCAGCCCTCAAAAATGAGCAAAACCTAGGACCCAAAACACATCCACATCCAAAATCTATGGCTAAATCACCAGTCTTAATCTGAGTAGCACCCAAAATCACCAGTCTTTTCGAGTCAAGGCAACCGTGGCCAGCCACGGCATCCGTAACTAGTGGGGACTTGGGCCTTTCATCAGGACTTCGCTTGATAAACAGTGGTTGCTTTAGGATGGGATTCCCTGTGGATGGATTGTGATATTCCCCAGTACAATGTGTGCACATACATACATACATACATACATACATACATACATACATACATACATACATAACATTACATTACATTACATTACATTACATTACATTACATTACATTACATTACATACATTACATACATTACATACATTACATACATTACATACATTACATACATTACATACATTACATACATTACATACATTACATACATTACATACATTACATACATTACATACATTACATACATTACATCCATACATGCATTACATACATTACATACATTACATACATTACATACATTACATACATTACATACATTACATACATTACATACATTACATACATTACATACATTACATACATTACATACATTACATACATTACATACATTACATACATTAAATACATTACATACATTACATACATTACATACATTACATACATTACATACATTACATACATTACATACATTACATACATTACATACATTACATACATTACATACATTACATGCATTACATACATTACATACCTTACATACCTTACATACCTTACATACCTTACATACCTTACATACCTTACATACCTTACATACCTTACATACATTACATACATTACATACATTACATACATTACATACATTACATACATTACATACATTACATACATAACATACATAACATACATAACATACATAACATACATAACATACATAACATACATAACATACATAACATACATAACATAACATACATAACATAACATACATAACATAACATACATAACATAACATACATAACATAACATACATTACATACATTACATACATTACATACATTACATACATTACATACATTACATACATTACATACATTACATACATTACATACATTACATACATTACATACATTACATACATTACATACATTCCATACATTCCATACATTCCATACATTCCATACATTCCATACATTCCATACATACCATACATACCATACATACCATACATACCATACATACCATACATACCATACATACCATACATACCATACATACCATACATACCATACATACCATACATACCAAACATACCATACATACCATACATACCATACATACCATACATACCATACATACCATACATACCATACATACCATACATACCATACATACATACCATACATCCATACCATACATACATACCATACATACCATACATACCATACATACCATACATACCATACATACCATACATACCATACATACCATACATACCATACATTCCATACATTCCATACATTCCATACATTCCATACATTCCATACATTCCATACATTCCATACATTACATACATTACATACATTACATACATTACATACATTACATACATTACATACATTACATACATTACATACATTACATACATTACATACATTACATACATTACATACATTACATACATTACATACATTACATACATTACCTACAATACATACATTACCTACATTACATACATTACATACATTACATACATTACATACATTACATACATTACATACATTACATACATTACATACATTACATACATTACATACATTACATACTTAACATACATAACATACATAACATACATAACATACAAAACATACATAACATACATAACATACATAACATACATAACATACATAACAGTTAAAGACAGCGGACGTCCATGAAATGTGCCCCCGCACCCTTTTTACTTACCCGGGGATACCATCGCTGAAGCCAAAAAAGGCTAGACGTCCCAGCGGCTCTGTGCCTCCCATCCACCGACCAGGGTATGTATTTACATTGTTTTCACACATCCCCCCCTCTGTCGGTGCGATGGGTTTTGAAACGCTTTCGCTGTTCCGCCGCAGTCTGTCTTAGACCTTGGGCTTCATCTGTGTCCTTTAAGGACCATCTTCCTTCCATCAGGGCCTTCTGAAGCGCCTTGTTGCCAAACCATTTGGTCAAGCCATCCGACACCATATGATGTCCAGGCACCCAGCGCGCAAAGGCATTGCTTCGGTCCTCCAAGAGCGCCTGCTTCAGGACCGCCAGATCGATTTGGATCTTTCTGTCACTCGTCTGGGCTTCACTTGTGAGCACATCGAAGCCAGTCTTGGCGTCGATAACCAGGAAGTGCCTCCATTGGTTGGCCCACAATTTCCACTCCTTCAAGACGAACTGGCCATGAACCATCTCGCTCAGGGCTGCTCGGACGAAATCACCATGCTCAAAGGCGGTGGCTGCCATTGAAACTTCTGCGCTCATGCTGCATCGGACCACCCTCTGGATCTTCATGCTGGCTGCTTCCAAGACCACCAGCTGCGCTTCGCCCTCTAAGATCTCAGGTTCAGCCAAGGCAACCAGCAATCCACCCTGGCTGTAACCACCAGGTTGAGCTCCATAAGCTGCATCGCTGGCCGAAATGACCACAAGGTCCTTCCAGTTCTTCAGCTTCTTCACAACCTGCACCATCGGTTGGCGAGCCCTGTAGATCACCTTGTTCAAGAAATCCATTGCTTCTGTGGGCTCACGTGCCCATGAGTTGCTGCACATGGGAGACCCCATAGGCAATGTCATAGCGACCTTGTCGAGCCATCCAATTCAGTTGACCCAACACTGAAGACATTGCCAGTCGGGCTTCTGAAGTGATGCCCTTTGGTTTCTCCATCTTCTTCTGGCTGCCGTGCGTGCATTCCTCCACGTCAATCTCCCCCTTGAGCAGCTTGTTCTCATCGTCAATCACCTCCTTGGGGTCCAGCTTGTAGGTGCTCAGGGTTGTGAGCTTCTGCAAACCCTTGGCATATTCGTCCATGCTGTACTCAAACTCCATGGTGTTGGGATCTTGCCTCTCCCATCGTCCGCAAAACTTCACCCAACCATCTGTCGATTTTCGCACATCTCCAAAGTTGAGACACTGGTGGACCTTGCGCCAGATCTCTTCACTGGTGTGGTCTCCACAGTACCTTGTATCATCCACATGGATACAGGCCAATGCTCTGAGTGTCCCGTCTGGATGATGAGCCACAAAGACTCCAGGCAGCAGATGCAATTCTCGCATGCCACAGTGGCAGATGGTTTCCTTGTATTCAAGGTACCACAGTCTTGGACTTTCCGGGAGACCGAAACCACCCTTGGTCAGCTTCATGAGATCCCTTCTCATGCCCAATCCCAGCTTCTGGCCGATGAACTTCTCAATGTAGTCTGGGTAGCCCTTAGGGATGCGGACATACACCTCCCTTTCAGGGGGAAGATGTTTCCCTTGGAGGAAGGCACTTGACACATCTTCATAGTGGACCACCCATCCCATCTGCACACTGATGAAATTGATCAGGTTGTGGGCCAAAGCGGCCGCTGTCGGTGCCAAGGTCGGGAACTTGCCGGCATCTGGGTCACGATGTCCTCCAAGCACCAGCCTACCCTTGAGGATGGCTTCTTCCAAGGTAGAACAACCCTTGTTGGTCAGGACGAATCTGCTCGTGAGCACCCTCTTTGGATCAATGACCTTGTCGGCTGGCACTCCCTCCAAGGCATCATGATCAAAATAGATCTTCACCGCTTTGATCAGGGGTTCCTGAAAAGCATCTTTCCATTCTTGAGAGAGCTGACCCCATTGATACTCAAGACGGGCCTTTCCAGTGATCACCTTATCGCCCTCTGCCGCGGCGTCGATCTTCTCCTTGTCAATGACATTGGCCCCCGCCACGGCATGATGATGATCACGTTGTTGCTCCTTGATCTTTTCCTCCACTTCCGTCTGCGCCCATAGACATGGCTCAGGCTGCTTCCAGAAGGCTTCATCCTGTGCCCATTCTTCGCAAGCCTCCTGCCAGCTCACTTCAAAGACTCCTTTCTCACACGCATCCGCACATGCTTCATTCCAAAAGGCCACACTTTCTGCTTCCTGCCTCTCGATCCGTTCACGTCGGGCTCGTTGCAGTGCTGGGGTCTGGCGGGACTTCTGGATAATCTTCCGGATCTGCTTCACATTCTGCGATGCCCTCGACGCTGTGCTTCTCAGCTCTGCTTCGGTAAGCCTCGATGGCCTTGTTTTGGTTTTGCTGAGTTCTTCAAACATCTTCTTCTTTGCCTCAAATCGCAACCGGCTGGGTTCCATTGGAGGCTGTGCTGATTCCTCCATCAAATCGTCCTCATCCTCCATCAGCATCCCATTTCTCTCTTCAGCTTGGAGTGGTCGCACCAAAGCAGGCCCGCTAGAAGCCGAAGACAAAGAGCTCCTCAGTTGCTCCGGAACATCATTCAGCAGCTCCAACCGTCGCACTTGTCGGGCTCGAGCTTCATCCTGCATCTCTGGGGCAGCCCTGTCCAGTCGCTGCTGCATGTCTGCATCAGAGTCTTCTTCTTCCTCCACAATTCTCGCATGACCGCGGGCACGGGCTGGTGCACCCGCCGGCAACGCCTTTTGCTCTTCCACTCGCAATTTTCCCATGCGGATTTCATCCGCCATTTGATCCAGGAGGCCCACAATGAAGCTGGAGCCCAGCATCTTGTCAGGGGTTGCCAACCTCACCTTCTCCAGTGGAAAGCTTCTCACCTTTCCACGGATACGCGCCCAAATCCTGTTGGGGACATTCTGCTGCCTCTCCACGCAGACCACCAAGCCAGGTCCATCCCAACTCACATGATCCTGAAGTCGACGGGGTTGTCCACGCCGATGAGGAGGAGGCTGGTGTACGTACACCGTGGTGCCTTCGTTGATCATCTCCAACTTGGGAGGGCGCGATCTTGAATGCAGCCCTTTTCTGATCACCTCATTGGAATCAATCCAATTGAAGGAGTCCACTGCCGCTGCACGGATTCTCTCGGCTTTTCTCGGCGCCTCCTTCTGGTCCAAGCTGGCATTCATTGCCAATTTGAGTTGCCCTCCACAAAGTTGGTTCATCAGTGATGTTGGCACCGCCACATCGCGACCTGTCACCGCCTGCAAAGGCGACATGCCCATCTGATTGCACAGGCGGTTCTTCGCCCCAAAGCAAGCTGCTGCCACCATCTTGAAATCCTCCAAGCCACGCACTTGCTGTGCCGCAATGGTTCTCATCATCATCAATTTCACCACAGCTCCATGACGTTCCACTTGTCCTTGTCGCCATTTGGCTCCAGCTGGAACCACTTCATGGCGGAAGTCCAAAATGCGGCCAATCTTCTGCACCACATCCTCGTACTCCTTGCCGCCATCCGTCTGGAAGATCTCCGGTGGACCAAAGATAGCACACCACCGATTCTGCAAGAGCTCTGCTGTGGTGCTGGCATTGGGTTGTTTGCTCACAATGCCCACGTGGTACTCCGTGAGGCCATCCAAAAGGTGAGTCACACTGAAGCGCTCATTGTCCATGTCCCAGACGTAGAAGCTATCCGACAGCACCTTCTCACCAAACCTCGTCGGTCTTTGTCCTGACACCTTGGGTTCAGCGCCTGGAGGTCTCACCGCCTGGCAGATCTGACATTTGAGGCCCTCGGCGGTCTTCAGCACCAATTGACTGCAGCCACTGATCTGCAGCATCCTCTTCAGTCTGTCAGCCGATGGATGGCCCAACACCACATGCAAATGGGCAAGTGCTTGTCTCACCTTGTAAGGTCCTTGTCTGGAGTTGCCCTCGAAGAACACGTAGTCATATTGACCTCCCCTCCACTCGGCCTTTTCCAATTGCCTTCGAAGTTCGCCCTCTGGCGTTGGCAGAGGTTCCACCGGCAAAGCATAATGCAATGCCGCCGGAGGTCGGCTTTCAGCCAATTTGCGAGGTGCCTCTTCTTCGCATTTCTCCCATGCATACTCTGCCGCCTCCAAGATGTGCTCACAAAGTTCCACAGGCCATCTGGCGGCTAGAGCCGATCTCCTCTGTGAACGACCTTCATAGAAAACACTCCCTTCTATGGGTTGATGCTCTCCAGGTTCATGGGCACACACTGCTCCAATCATCAGGCCCTCGCACATGTAGTAGTCGTTGCTGTCCAAGGCGGTGGGGCTTCTCATTGATTACGTCTCTCAACCCGAAGGCACGCTGAGGAACCTTGGCACGATGCAGTTGTGGGCGCGCCTCCATGAAGTCCAGGTGCAAAGCTTCTGACTGCCACGGATTTTCGGTCATCACCAACCTGCCATTTTTGGTTTGTTCGTCCCACACTTCTCGCACGAACCTCCACAATGGAATGTCCACTTGCCGGTCCATCATGATCTGATCCAAATTGGGATTCAGTCTTTGGAATTGGCTCCATGGACCGCATCTCGGGCTCAAGGTCACCAAGTCAAGCTTCTTCGTCCTGATCTCGTCCATCACTTGAGCTCTAGTGTGAGCATTCCTCAGGTCTTGCCCGTAGATCAAGTCCACCGGCGCCAATGCAGACCACCCAGCTCTCAAAGTAGCCACCTCCGTCAAGATGCCGTGGCCCGCAAAGATCTCCATCACCGTGTACTTGTCCTTGATACGGTGCACCATGGCCATCAGGGCATGAATCCTCCGAGATGCCTGCATGCCATTCTTCAGCTTTTGCATCAGTCCTCGTTGGGGATTGGCTCGTCCCCATACCTCGGCCCCACAAAATCGCTGCTCCTCAGGCGTTGTCTCATCGCCCCGAAGTGTCCCCACAGCGACGCCACCTCGTAGCTCAGGAGATAGTTGAGCCACTTGACATTCCTCTTCCACTTGGCCTTGCCCTTGGATTCCTCCCTCACCGCTTCTCGCACTCGAAGCTGCCACACCAACTTCTTCCACAGATAGGTGCGCATCCTGCTCCTCATGCTGGCCATGATGTTGAATGCCAAGTCGTCGCTCCAGACGTTGCTCAGCGAGGGATACTTGGCCCCCCATCCAGTCAGCGCGGCTGTCTCCGCTTTCTTCTTCATCGCCGCTGCTCCCTTCTGACGACGCTTGTAAATCATCTGGAGCTCCTCCATCGTCAGGCCCTTGATCTCCTCGATTGGGATGTCCTCCAACTCCACCGGGGGCAAGTCTTCCAGGGATCCCCTCGCTGCTTGGCGCGGCGCTGGCTTTGGAGGCGAGATCGCCTTCGGAGGTGGGGCCATGGCTGCTGCTGCACGGCTCTGTGGCCCTTTTCCTTTGCCCTTCACGTGCTTCTCGGTCTCTGTCCCGTCCACCTCCATCCGGCGAGGCGGCTCTTTTCTGCCCTTTTCTCGTCCGGCCTCCAGGTGAATGCTCTCCTCCATCTGCTTCTGCTTGAGGTTCTCCTCCGTCAATGCCGTCACTTCCCAAACAGAGCTCGCTTCCTCGGGGTCTGACATCTCCGGACATTGAGACGTCCGGTGACCCATGTTGCCACATAGTCGGCACAGGGCTGGATTGCCCAGCGGCACCGAGGACATCCGACGCCAAATGGTCGTTGATCCGGGTTTGATCCACTGATGAGCCAAAAGCTTCACGTTCACAAAGTTCATCAAACATCGCAACTTCTGCATGACTTTCCATGTTCCAACCTTGACGCTCATTCTCATCCATTTCATCCAACTGTGCAAATTCATCTATCCTCATGGTATAGTGACCTGCATTGTTCTTACTCAAACCATACTGTTTCACGTTGAGTCTTCGAGAAGTCAAGGTGTGCTTTTCGGTGTCCAACTAAACCCCCAAGGCAGTATGTGATTGTTTGGAAAGAAGAGGAGGACAAGGACCAGGAACAACACTAAAAGCTAATAAAACCCTTTTGCCGCCAAATGTTGATTCCAATTGCAATCGAAACTTGCTCTTCAATGTATTGCCATCTCCAAATCTGAAAACCTCCTCCTCTGGCAAAACCTTCAACCAACGACCATGTCTCTTCCACTCCAAAATGACATCGTTTGCCCACTCAACTCCAACCACATTCCTCATGCAACCCAGATCCAAAATAACTTTCCGAGCCAACTCTTTCATGCTCCACCATGTTTCAAAAGGCAAATTGTTGGTGTGATGACCCTGTGATGATTGATTGGGTGATGTCTCCCCTTGACCCGTCGGACCCAACACCATATATGCCGCACGCTCGGAAGCTGCCGACTGGATGGTGTCCTTGCACAAGGAAGCTAAAAGTGACCATTCGTCCTCTTCGTCTAAAGGCTTTCCCTTGGACGGAGTCGAAGTCACCAAAACCTGGTTGCCCTTCTCCATGGCCAATTTGACCTTCGGGCAGTCCTTGGCAAAATGCCCAGGCTCGTCGCACACAAAGCACTTGCCGGTGCGAGACTTCTTGGACTCTCCATCCCTTTCGTAGAAATTCCGAATCTTGCGCACCTCAGCCATCTTTTGTCGCGCCTTGTACTGCAAAGCCAGTGCCTCGTGCTCTGCATGAAGGATGTCATTGGGCATGTTTTCCATGTCGTCCAAGCTCTCATCACCTGGACCTTCTTCAGGAATCCCTTCAAGGGAGATCGACGCCTCATCATCTTCCTGAAGCTCTGCTGCTAGGATCTGCTTGTCCTTTTTGTTGAACCTCATGCCCAAAAAGTTGCGCTGAACCAAATGTTCTTCACCTTGAGTTCCACCAAGTTGCCCTTCAGCTTGTCCAATTGGATAGCCTGCTTCTCCTTCAAGCTCGCCGGCCAGCTCCATCATCGCACCTGTGATAGATGTCTCGGTCTCAGCACCTGCATGAGTCTTGATCATGGCCTTGTCTCTTCGGGTCAACTTGGCGTGATCCAACAAATGACCCACAAAAAACCTTTCTCCCACGCTCAAAGACTGATCCAATCCTTCAAGTTGACTGCGATACAAGCCGGCTCTGGTGATATAACTCTCCAAACTTTCACCAGGCAACCTATTCAGGTTCAACAATCTCTTCCTATGCCAATCCACCCGATGCTTTTCACTCTGGCGCACCAAGGGACTCTGCTCTAAAGTCTGAAAAATGAGTTCCAGACCATTCTTGCCATCCACGTCCTCAGGCTCCAGGTGCTTCACCAGCTGAGCTGCACGATCTCTCAACTGAACCATCACTCGAGGTCCGACAAGGTGATGAGGAAGTTGATGTCCTTCGCCACGCAACCAAAACTTGACAGCTCTTTTCCAGTCACGATAGCTTTCCCCTTGTTTGGCCTTGAAGACAGGGGGATAGCTGCTGGAGAGTTTCCCCATGGAGCGTTTCTCTTCTTCCTTGTCCTGTTTCTCATGGACACACATGACCCGTCCAGAAGGTAGGTCCCCTTTTCCGTGATCATCGCCATCAGATTCTACAGAATGGGGATGGTCTGCAGCGTCTCTTTCTCTAAGATCCGCACCACCTTCACGGTCTCCCTGAGGAACTCCACGGTCACCTCGATCATCATCTCGATGCCACCAATGCCAAGGATCTGAAGACCCCCAACCTCTGTTCCCAGAGTGACTCACATAGACCCAATTCGCCCGGCCCTCTCCTGAGGATCCACCCCAAGAGTCGCTCGACCACGTTTGGCCCTGCCACCATGAGTCACTCGAAGAGGCGTTGGACGCCATTTCAAAAACCTCAGCTTGATGACCTCGATCTCGTCCTCCAGCTCGTACCCACGGATCACTCGATGGGCTTCTCCAAGTTGCCGCACTATGAGACCAAGCATGGCTAGTCTCCTGCGGCACTTCCTGCTCCAAGGCCTCGTCCACTTCCACTTCGTAGACAGCCCATCCACCACCATAGTACGAGCTCATCAGCGATGATGCCCCCAACCAAAGGCCCAAGCCTTCACCAAGTTCCCACTGCACTGATCGCCCTCAATCAATGTCGTCCCTGGATCGAACCAAAGCTCCGGTGCCAGTTAAAGACAGCGGACGTCCATGAAATGTGCCCCCGCACCCTTTTTACTTACCCGGGGATACCATCGCTGAAGCCAAAAAAGGCTAGACGTCCCAGCGGCTCTGTGCCTCCCATCCACCGACCAGGGTATGTATTTACATTGTTTTCACAATAACATACATAACATACATAACATACATAACATACATAACATACATAACATACATAACTAACATAACTAACATACATACATACATACATACATACATTACATTACATTACATTACATTACATTACATTACATACATACATACATACGTACATATGGTAACCGACAGAATTATGGAGAAAAAAAAACGTTAAACTTAGACAGGCGGCGCCTGCGTCCGATTTTTCCATAATTGGGTTTTTCCCCATAAGGGTTCAAAATATCCCGGAAGTGATCCGAACCTTTTTTTTTTCCAGAACTCTTGGAGGTGGCCATTATTTCCATAATTGATTTTTCCTGTAAAATCAGGGGGCTAGGGCAGATTGACCGGTTTTTCCATAATTATTTTTTTTCCATAATTATTTTTTCCATAATTAATGTTTGGGGTACAATTGTTGGACATGTCATGGATCCACAATTCAAACCCCTTTTTTTTGGGGGTTATGGAAATATGTATGCAAATGCAAGTATGTAGTATCAACCCAATTGGTGGCTTGGCAAAAGGATACATCCCGCATATGTATGTACGTACAACAATATTTTCTATAATTCAATATTCCCCCTTAAAATGCATTCAAATTGCGAACATCACATGATATTATGTATATCAATGGCAGGCTTTAGGGGCATATACCAGATCTTTAGACACAGATTTTTTATAATTCAATATTCCCCCTTAAAATGCATTCAAATTGCGAACATCACATGATATTATGTATATCAATGGCAGGCTTTAGGGGCATATACCAGATCTTTAGACACATATTTTCTATAATTCAATATTCCCCCTTAAAATGCATTCAAATTGCGAATCGATGGACATACAGTCACCGACAGAATTATGGAAAAAAATAATTATGGAAAAAATAATTATGGAAAAAAAAAGGTTCGTAACTTTTCTATCATAGACAGGCGGCGCCTGTAAATTGAAACGCTTTTTTCCCATAATTCTGTCGGGTGCTGTACATACATACATACATATATATATATATATACATAGCTATACATACAGTATAATAGTTATAGTGATATATATATATATACATACACATTATATATAGTTAAAAGATGTTATAAGTTATAATATATATATATAAAGGGTGTGTTAATAGAGTCCCCAAACTAAGCATATCTAATCATCAACCAGGCTTGAACGAAGCCACTGCTCGACTTCAAACCTGACCGCCGGTTACCACATCGCCTGCTCGAAGGTAAGGCTTTAGCTCCAAGTAGTCTGCCTGCCAGGGCTGTTGGCTAAAACCACATCATTGGCATGATAATGCTGTCAATGGGTTGGCATTATCATGTTGGCAGTTGATGTTGACAGTAAACCCCCGACACGGGCATGGAGAACGAATTCCGTTACCTTGGCTTCAGCCGAGACTAGTGACTAGTCTGGAAATGTGAGCTGCTTTTCCAATCTTGGAAATGTTTCACAAGCTACTCACTTAAATAACTTAAATTCATTTCAATTCAACATGGAACCGCTAAATTAGGATTCCAATTGTAGATGTTGTACTGCTGGCCTTTGTGGTTTCCATGCTACAGGGGCTGTAAGTCATGAAGGGCTTGGTGCTTGTACTCGGACGTATTGGTGCTTGTACTCGGACGTATTGGTGAAGACAAGCTGGCGCCAGCTTTGACGATAAGGGCGAGGATCAAGATTCGTTGATGACGATGCTATCGTTCATCATATGTTCATGATCATGATGACCGTTGCCAATAACAGGATCAACGTCATCAACATCAACATCATCATCATCATCATCATCATCATCATCGCCATCGTCATCATCATCAACAACAACAAAAATAACAAGAACAAATAGAACAAGAATACCATCACCACCACCACTACCACTCTGATGATTTCTTGAACTTCCCATGTTCGATACTTCGGCATGGATCAACCTACCTGGTTGGACATCGGCAGCACCAAATTCTCCACATTTTCTCGCTTGGCTGCCAGAGTCTTCCTTGGGGCTGAGCTGGTTGAGTCGCCTGCAGTTTACCCTCCAAAGTGGCCACGGTATGGTTCCGATCTGTGTATGGAATAGTGATCTTTACGTCTGTGCCATTTTCAGCTTCAATGGAGAACATGCAAAACATGGAACATATGATTCTTTTTATGGGGTCTACTGCATGAGTTTGTTTGAACATATGGTCCCCTAAACGAAACAAATGCAATGATTCGGGTGGTAAACCTCGAGTTCTCAAACACACCCAACTGTCAGTATCATCTTGACAGAAATATATATATAAACATGTATCTCCTATTACATCACTGTTGTATCAGTATATCGAAGTATTATGGTTGGATTAGTCATGGTTAGTCATTAGTTATTTCTACGAGTAAACCCAACATTTCCACCATTCGACACAACAAATCCGTGGCAGGACCAAGTATCTCTTTGATGCCACCGACACGCAAGACCTTGCCCGTCAGCGTCACCTAACACCAATGGGATGAGTCAGCAGTGGTGAGATTTACCATCTGGTTATGACTAACATAGCCATGGAAAATCCCAACCATAAATGGAGGTTTATAGCTGGGAAAATCATCTATAAATGGGTCATTTATCCATGGCTATGTTAGTCATAACCAGAGGGTATTGTCACACTCCATCACTGTTTCCGAGATCCGCTCCCATCCCTTTTAGCAAGAAAGGAATGAAAGGAAGCCCCAAAAATCGGTGAAAAGCATGGGTTTCCGACACAAGTGTCACACACAGGTCATCTCAAAAAAACGGAGACACAGGAAGGCCCGTTCCCCCCATGCGAAGTGAGTAGTTAAGGATGAAAAATGAAGCGCGGCACCAGCGAACAACATCTAACAGTCCCAACAGAAAGTGGAAGTGTAACCGTGTAACACTTCAACTTGGATTTCACATGGTTCAACTAAAATCGGAATTTCACGTCATACCCTGGGGAAATCAAACATGGCTGGCTGGAAGAGCCACCATCCAGTTCGATCATGTTCATTCAAACCTCCATGGGGGTTTCCCATTGCTATGTTTGATGACCGAAGGGTAATTCCATTCATAACCATGATGAACTATATATAATTCATCATAGATCATGATTAATCATGCATAACCATCATTAACCATTATAGAGTATATACCTTCTTGGTAATTGAACATTGCTATTGAAAATGGCCATTTATAGTAGATTGACCCATAAAAAATGGTGGATCTTTCCATAGTTATGTTAGTTCACCAGAGGGTAACCATTATTATTGACCATTACTAGTGTTTGTTCTTGACCTTGACCATATATTCAGCCAGTATTACTACTATCAACCATCATAAATCCAGATTCATCCACCTAGAAACGAATCAGCCAGTCGATTTTCTCCGCCTTTGTCCACCTCCAGTTCGGGGACTTCCCCATCATTTTTCAGAGGCTAAATCCCCATGGGGATCCCCATGGTACTTGGAGCATCTCCACCTGCCACCGGGGATAGGCCGGCCGGGCCCATGGGGGGGGCGGGCGGCCTCGCCACTCATGGCCAGATCTCGCTTCACGGGGCGATCAAGGGCCATACTAAGCCTAGGAAACGCTGGGCGGCCGCCCTGGTTCTTTTTGATCAAAACAGGGATTTAACGAGTGAAAATGAGGGATCTGGGCAGGTTGTACCCCACCAATTATGAGATTTCTGGTGATTTATGGTGGTTTGTTGATGTTTATTGTTGAAGTAGGTGGCTAACACACCATGCAGTAGTAGGATATATCGGTATATCCCACAAATATGGCTGTTGATCAACAGGGTTCTCAATCCCCGGCTGACATTATAGCTTGGTTCTGCTATGTCATGATATTGATGGCGTTTATCAGCGTTCCTGTCTGCCTTGTTCTTGTAGGGTCGTTGTTGTTTGTAAACACTTTCTGGTACCAGCAAACCACCAGCTATGGGCCTATGGGTTATACATTGGGTTTTGCAATTAACTATTATGGTTGTTCTATGTTTGTGTTGTAATGACTGGTCTATACATGAAATAATGCTCCAAATATGGGGATATAAAATAATTAATGTAACGCATGAATGATGGTGGTGATCTCAGATAGTCAAATAATGTAGATGCCATTTAGAAACGGATAATGGAGTCTGGTTCAGGGGGGGAGTGGTGAGAGTTTCATCTGGTCCAGAATGTGTAGCTAACTAATCGTTTAAGGAAAGTGGGACATCAAATCATACCCTCAGATGGTCCTGCTGTATATTCACCAGAGGATGGTTGTACAGCACATCCAAATCCCAAAAAGTGCCCCAAAGATCGGCAAGGAACAGGGCCGAAGTCATGGTCACGCCAGCAGATGGCCCATCCTGACACAGATCTCTCACCCGACCAAGGAAAACAAAAACCCAACAATGGGTCAGCGACCAACCCAGTTTAATGGGAGCAAGAGACCAACCAAAAGTTTGGTTTTAATATGTTGCATTCAATTGGTAATAGATTCAACCAACAAAAAAGATCGTGAGGATGGGAATGCGCCCTTTGTATTCACCTTCCCAGAAGGTCACTTTTTGGTGGCGGCACATCAAATATGCCAATAGCTTCCCCCCAACACCAAAAAAAGTTGCCGAAAACTTTGGCCCGGCCCAAACGAAACCTTTCACCCTTTCACCCAGGTCCCAAAAAAAGAGACCGGTCAAATTTGTTCAGCGTCCTTGGGTGTGGCACCCTCAGGCATGTTCATGTGGATGTATGCCTCAGTCATCCTAGTTTTCACTGAGGTTTCATGGGAATACCACCCCCAAGAGGCCAGTACCCCGCAGTCATAGGGGTTGGATAAGCCCCAAACAGGTGCGAAAATCCGGGTTTGTATGCCGGAATCTGTAATCACTGAAGAAATATCGATAGGGATTGAATCAATTGATCTATATACCCTGGGGTAAAACTAACATAGATGTGGAACACCAATGGTTTCCCGAGGAAAATTATCTACAAATGGTGGGATGTACCATTGCTTCAGCTAGATCATCCAGAAAAAATAACGATCTCAGTTACGGATGGGGCCAAACCTTTCATACCATACTTGAGGGCCTTGAGGGTATGAGACTACAGCAATACCAGCTCCAGTATGTACAGTATACATATGTACATGTACATGTACATGTACATATACATATACATATACATATACATATATATATATATATGTATGTATATGTATATGTGTGTGTGGGCATGTGTATATAATAATTATATATACCCTTAGCTTCCAAACCCTACAAATTTGTCGGGTGCAAACTAAAACCCTGGGTTTAGCCGTGATCATGCTAAAAACCTTGGGTTTGTCACAAAAAACCAGGGTTTTCTTACAAACTGTCCGAATTCGATATAGTGCTTGCTTCCAACACTTCTCCTACTTTGCTTCATCATATGTTTCTTAGATGTTCCTCCATTCAGCCTTACCGTCAGGAAACCACATCTACATTATACATCTGAAGTAGAGAAAAACGCAACCCCAACATGGAAAAGTACGGGTCGGGAATTCAAGCCTCTAGCAAACCGTGTTCAACCCGTGATTTACCCGTGTCAACCCGTGTTTTCTTAAGGAATACCCAGGGTTTGTAGGCTAAACCTCGTGTATTTTGAAAATAACCAGGTTTTCTCTAACCCGTGTTCAACCCATGTTCAACCCGTGATTTACCCGTGTGCACCCATGATATAAACATGGGTTGGAACCCCTTGGAACTGGTGAACATATAATATGTTTTTGTTGTGTGTTGGGCTTGTGTTTGGGCGTCGATGACCAGTAGACTGGACAGAAATGCAACACTTTTTGAGGACCCACCGCATTAATAAAATCAGAGCATTTGGGGGCATGGTCTTGAAATTTGTGGAAATAGAAAAACCCTGGGTTTTGTTTTGAAACCCTGGGTTTTAAGTGCCACCCTGCGAATTTTGCGGGTTCGGAGGGTCAAGGTATATATATATATATATGCGTGAATATAATATATATCTATATGTGTGTGTGTGTCTATATATAATGGTCTTCTTACCAGGGTGCCAGGGCTAGGGCTTTGATCCAGTTGGAATCATCCCTGGCCAAAGATTTGAAAGCAACCCACTAGTTCCAGATGAATATAATACCCTTTAGTACTTTAACATAGCCATGGAAAATGGCCAACTAAAAATGCAATTTCCATGCAATTTCTAGATGAGTTACCTCTTAAAGATACCATTTACGGTTAGATGAACCCCCCAGCATTTTTTGGCTATCTCCTCCCGGTTTTCCCAGTGAGTCCAGTGAGTGTACGGTCCCAAGGGGCCGTGTCCAGGAAGTCATTCTTGGGAGAGAGCTCACGCAGGAAGATCTTGGCGTAGGTCAGAGCAATTTCGCTGGACTCACCCATTACCTGTCACCGTTTCGTGCTGCCCTGGCTGGGTTGATTTGGGGATTTTTACTAGTTTATAACTATAATAACTATATCGTTTGTAACGTATAATTATCCGAGATACCTAAGTTGGTAAGCATAACTACAATTTCACTAGGGTTTATGCTAGTTATACATCTGTAGTTGCTGTGGTTTATGGACCAACAACCATCACTGGGGGGGGTACCAGCTTGTGTCACACCTGGCAATGGGACAATCATCTACAAATGGGGAAATGATGAAATGATAATTGCCAGAGGGTCAGCATGAGAGTCATCTGGTGATTTTTATACAAGATGCCATATAATCAGATAGTGGTGGATATGATGGAAGCGTTGTCTAATAGGCTTCAGACCACAAACCAAACAAGTATCGAACCCTACATGGGTATACATACCCTCTGGTAAACTAACATAGCTATGGAAAATCACTATTTTTAATGGGAAAATCCACTATAAATGGCCATTTTCAATAGCTTTTTGTATGTTTACCAGAGGGTAGATCATTCCGCTCACAAGTTTCTTGTGGCGAGGCAAGCTCCCAGTGCCCATTCCATGCTGATCACCGTGCGAAAAAACCGTGGAACATCCCAAGTCAGTACGGGCATCCCGGATCACCCGCGTAGTACAGTAACACGGCGCCCTCGGGTTTTCTCAAACGTGACAATGGATACCCTCTGGGTAAACAGCCACATAACTATGGAAAATCACCATTTTTAATGGGAAAATCCACTATATTTTCAATAGCTATGTTAAATTACCAGAGGGTAATTCCCCACTTTACGACTTTACAAATGATGGTCCCATTTGAAAAGAACTCCATTTAGTGGGATTTCCCAGCTAACCATGTTTGATTACCGGTGTAAACATCGATGAATACTGCCATCTGGCACCGGCGTATCACTCCTTGCTGGTAAATCATCACAGTGGTGATCAGTGCTTTTAACATTCACCAACTGATCCAATCCCCCTAATATTCACCCCCATTTCATCCCCCACATCCACCATGCTTTCTGGAGGGGTGCTTAATGTGAATGGGGCAAGGGACTCATTTCCATAAATTTCTATACATTTCTCATTTGACATGGCCGTTTTCCAAAGCGTTGCTCCATGATTTCTGGGGGGTGTTTATACATCACCGTTTTGTTGAACCATAAAATCAATGGATTGGTTTAAGGGAAATCTACAGGAAACCATAGATTTTCCCACTAAATATGGGGCTTTCCTGTAAATTGTCCCATAAAATCACCATTTCACCACATCCACCATCGCCTTGCCGAGCTTTCCCGTCACCTTCATCCGCCCCGCTGGACCAGTTCGCGGTGCCGGTGCGCGGGAGGAAGACGAGGGCCTCGGATGGAAGTCCGATGGCCGTGGTTGGCATTTTCTCATTGGATTGGTTTGTTGGGGAAAATCTACAGAAAACCATGGTTTAATTCCCATCAAATTGTTCGGGTTTTCCTGTAAATTTTCCCATCCAATTCTATGATGTTCATGGTAAAATAACTATTGGGGATATCTACTGGTTGGTGGTTGACCTACCCCTCTGAAAAATATGACTTTGTCAGTTGAGATTGTTATTCCCAATATATGGAAAAATAAAAAATGTTCCAAACCATCAACCAGTGATGTGTTTATATTTCATAGTGGTTATACAAATGTTTCACCATGGTTTGAAGGCTGCTTTGCTGTTTGTAATACTATGGTTTAATGTGGTTATATGCCATCAAAATGATTTATATATAATTAGGTTAACTATGGTTTACTATGGTTGACTATGGGTTAATATGGCTAGCTCTGGGTTAATATGGTTATAAGCATGGTTTGACCGTGGTTTAACCATGGGTAACTATGGGTTAGCTGTGGGGTTGACTCTGCTTTAATATGGTCATTATATTATAATTCTATACCATCAAGATAACTTAGAACTAGATTAACTGTGGTAAACTATACTTTAATCTAACCTAACCGTGCTTAACTGGGGTTTATTCTAGGTTATTTGTGGTCAATTATGGTTAACTATGGCTTGATATGCTTGTAGGTATGGTTTCAGTTTCAATGGGAAAAACATGAATGATACCCTCTGGTAATTTAACATAGCTACAGCTGCTATAGCTAATTACAGTATGGCACAAATTGACCACGATGGAATTCCTGCCGTCCACCAGGCTTTTTGGACCTGAATCATGGGAAAGCCGCATCCAATTTGCAATCTTCGTCCCAATTTATTTCAGACATGTCAAGTTCACTGATTACACAAAGAAGAGTGGTTTCATTCCCAAATACCCTCTGGTAATTTTTCATAGTTCAACCCTGAAAATAACCCAAATTTTGAATAGAAACTCTTCTTCCAAGCTCTGGCAGGGTCCAAGTGTAAGTTTACTAATTAATTAGAGTGTATATTCCATGGTCATTTCGCCTACCCTTCGCCACAATGATTCGAGCCGACCTGATCAAGCCACGTGTTACCACCCTCCGAAAGCACCGGGGAAGCTTCGAGTGAGACATCCGCATCCGCCATCCGTTCCTTGCGTTGCCAACGGCTGGTTCTCTCAGTGGATTACCCTCTGGTTATGACTGCCTCAGTTTGCCATGGAAAGATCCCTCATAGATGGAGGTTTATAGCTGGGAAAATCATCTATAAATGTGGAAAGATCCACCATGCTATTTTTATAGGTAAACCATCCATTTCGATTAGGGCCATCTATTTTCCATGGCTATGTTAGTCATAACCAGATGGTAAGTGTTGAGGTTATGGTAGATACCTCTGGTAATTTGACATGAATTTTCTATGGCAAACGGCCCATTGAAGAGTTGATTAGATGGCTGATTTACCCATTTAAACGTGGTGATTTACCCTCTGGTAAACTAACATAACTATGGAAAATCACCATGTTTCATGGGAAAATCCACTATACATGGTGATTTTCCATAGTTATGTTAAATTTCCAGAGGGTAAATAACCTGAGGATGTTTCTGAAAAGTTAGATGTGGTGGTGAAGCAACTTACATCGAACTGGGTGGACCTTGCTGCAACAGTTTCCCAAAGTGTGGGTGTTTTTTTGCCATTGCTGCAGAACCCAATGTTTCATGTAAGGCAAGTTGTGCACTCATAAGTCAGCATAATTTCAATCCTTACCAATTTTGTCACTTGAATTCCGGGACAATCGCCCACAACCCCCTACCATTCACTATCAAGAGCTACCAAACAAAGACACAAGGTTTGGTGGGGAAACAAAATATATAAGATCGTACATGCCCCATTCCTATCCATTTCTTAAGATTGATGATGACCTATGCATGGTTATGCTATATCGCCTGCTATCAACGCATCAAAACCCAACAATACCCAGTAAAACCCACCAGCATTCCACGATGGAATGCATTCTCAAAATCCATTCCCGATTGTTTGTCCCCACAAATCTCATCTGTATCAGCATCTGATGGGCAAATTATAATAATTCACTAACCTGAAATAAGGACATTTGGGGATGATTTCCCTTATTAACCATGATTCCAGTGAGGTCGTAGTGAGGTCGTTATAATTTACCCAGATGTATTATCATCATCATTGTAACTTTATATAGTTTATCCATGTTTATCCCATTCATTGAAGTTACAAACCAGGTTAGCAGCTATCATAAGAGGCCTCACCCTGTACTGGTTCATTTTTGATGGCTTCTGCAACCATGGTGAACCTATCAAAACCTTGGCTTTTTTATAATTATATGTGCTATCCTACTATAGCCGTGTCTCAATGGTTCTGTCTCCAGCGCCATCAGCAAAGTCTCTATTGAAGGGTTATATGCCAATATTTAACCATACCAATATTTTCTACATAACCATGCTAACCATACTTTTCCGGGAACTATCAATGGGATAAAGCCAATTTCAATTTGAAAGTTAGTGATTTAATTTATGTAAGTATGTGTTAGCATGTACGTATATATATATAACCTGAAGTAGATAGAATATGGAATGTCAGAATGTCCTAAGATATTTCCGTCTTAGTGATCAATTTAGCCTCAATCCCCAAATTTCCCTAGTTCAATCAGTCCCTGTTCTACAGTTACATGGAAATCATGGTGAACTCCACATCTTTCATTATGTGTCATCAGTTTTCATCATTTTTCATCATGTTTCATCATGTTTCATCTGGTTGTTGGTTGACCTACCCCTCTGAAAAATATGAAAGTCAGTTGGGATCATGAAATTCCCAACATATGGAAAAATAAGATTCATGTTCCAAACCACCAACCAGTCATGGTATTTTGCATGGTAAATCCTCAAAGAAAACCATGGAACTAACTTAACTACCCTCCGGTAAACTAACATAACTATGGAAAATCACCATTTTTAATGGGTAAATCCACTATAAATGGTCATTTTCAATAGCTATGTTAAATTACCAGAGGGTAACCCATCCTCTGACCAAGACACGTTGCTGGCCGGCACACGGCCTCGCGCCTCCACAACCAAGGTTTTACCGCCCAGGGCGGTCCAGGCCAGGCCTGTCATGGGGTGCTTTCTGAGTCATGGGGGTAGCCCCCTGATGTTCATCCATTTATAGATGGCAGTGGGTCAAAACCTTGCACCCCTGGTGAACATCAAAATTGCTGGTAAATGGATGTTCATCCCACTAAAAATGGTATTAATAGGTTTTGATCCATACCCAGATGGATTTTCCAGTATAACCCATCCATTTTGGGGATAATATGGGATAATCATCCATTTTTCATGATAGGATGTTCCATTTTTAATAAGCCATCCACAAAATGGGGATCCGCTATGACGATGGAAAGCCCCAAATTGATGAAAATGGAGACGAACATGAGGAAAATTGATGTTGGGATTTGCAGCTGAGAAATGACAATTTTGTTTTGGTTTCAGCCGCAAGCAGTGGGATGCCAAAGCCACAAGACTGGCACTTCCGTAAACGCAGAGATCTGTAAGTAATTATCTAATTCCCCACGGGGACACCCACTGATTTCCACACAGGTATCCGATACATAAAATGTTTGCATATTTGATTTGTTAGTACAAACAACACACTGTGGTATGCATTTAGATATATATATATATACACATACATCGTGGACTTAAATATAAATTACAAAGCTATTATTGGTGTATAGCAACCCCCGAAAAGATGCTCATTTCAATGTTACCAGGGTGGTAGTTCCAGGTTTCCCAATCTTTGGCATCTATTTTTTGCGGTTGCTATAATCTATTTTTGCTGATGATATTCCCTTGAAATTCCAGATATATCCGGATCATAGCACCATCTTCCCAACTTTCAATCACCATTAATTTGTCCAACTTACAAAATAGATCAAAATAGAAGGGTTTTTGTTCCTTATATAAATCTTATAAATTCTACATGTTTTCCCATATAAATCACCTTATTTTCCCATATCAATCCGCAATTTTCTCTTCACATCTACAGCCCAAGGAGCCCATGGCTACACCACTGGGCACCGCGTCGTGGAAGAGCCTGCAGGGCATCGAAAAGCGCAAGGTGCCCCTAAGAACGGGCTGTGGATGTTTATGGATGTTTATGGATGTTTATGGATGCTTATGGATGTTTATGATAGATATATGATAGATATATGATAGATATATAATATGTATATATGTATATATGTGTGTGTATGATTGTGTATGTATAAATATATAATATATATGGGGGTTGTCCTAAATTACTGTTCCCACAAAGGCCTCTTGGGCCGAGCTTGCGCCAACCTTGCGCGTTTCTTGCGCGACCACACTCCCGGATCACTTTCATCATTTCAGTTGCCTTTCATCATTATTCTCGTACTTGTTTTTGAATGTTAAATATTCAGTATTCACTTAATTATCACTTAGTCTATTTTCTTTATTTATTTTTACTGGTTTTGTTTGGCTTACTTACTTAATTTGCTTAACTCACTTTACTTATTTTACTTGTTTTGACTTAGTCTCCTTATTTTAATTTAGTTCTTTACTTTACTCTACTTATTTTACTTTATCCTACTCTATTTTTTGTTTACTTCGATTTAGTTTGTTTAATTGTTTTTTATTTTCTTACTTACTTGCTCATTTTATGTATTTGATTTACTACTACTACTACTACTTCTACTACTCGTACTACTCCAACTACTACTACTTCTACCACTGCAGCAACTACAACTACAACTACAACTAGAAACTGGTCTGAAACTGGTCTGAAACTGGTCAGAAACACCTTCTTACTCACCATCTCAGACACATTGCCGGAAGTGGCCGTTTTGGGACTCCAGTACTCTAACATTCGAAGAGAGCAGTCGACAGCCTTATTTTGTCACACTTTCCTAAAGCTGAATAAGCTTACGTTCTCTTAATTCAGCTTGGGTCTTTCGATTTCCAAAACGGCCGTTTTGGAACTTCCGTAACCAAACAAATATTGTAAGAGGGCAGTCGACACCTCTATTTTAGTACACTTCCCTTAGGGGAAATAAGCTTACCTTCTCAGAATTCACCTAAGAACTTTTGATTTCCAAAATGGCCGTGTTCAAGTTCAGCTTCTTGGCCGGAAAGAGGGCGCAGCCCGTGAGCGCCCCCAAAAGGGTCTGAAACCGTTTGAAGCCATTCTGAAACACCTTCCGGCTCACCATCTCAGACTCTATGCTCCTTTGTTTACAGCACTTTGCTTGGTTTAATAGTTCTTTTCATTAGCCGGATAGATGTGTTCTTTCTGTATGTTTTGGTTTCATTGCCGGAGCATTTCGAAGGGCAATGGCCATGTTTCAGTTCAGCCTCTTTTCCGGGAAAAGGGCAAAGCCCCGTCAGCAGCCCCAAAAGGGTCTGAAACCGGTCTGAAACCACTCTGAAATACCTTCCGGCTCACCATCTCAGACTCTATGCTCCTTCGGTTACAGCATCATTGCTTTGTTCTGCTTTTCAGTTGCAAGAAAGATGTGTTATTTTCTATGTTTTGGTTTCATTGCCGGACCTTTTCGAAGGGCAGTGGCCATGCTCAAGCTCAGCCTCTTTTCCTACTACTCTTACTACTCCTACTACAAATCAATGGATTCTGCTTGTCGGGCCCGGATTCGGTCCGGATTCGCTGCAAGAGATCTGTTCGAACTTACTTTCTACCTACTTTCTGCTTGACATCGCCTACATTGCTGCCCGTTTTCTGCTCAAGATTCACAATCTTCAAAACACAATGCCGCTATATGAGGATGGTTGCCAAAAAAGAAACAAATCCTGACCGAATCCGGGCCCGACAAGCAGAATCCATTGATTTGTTTCTAGCCGGTGAACATCTCAAATAGCAGCCATGTGACCTCCACACAATGAGCGTGGTTAAGCACCCTTCCTCTTCTGATCTCTCTTGTCCTAGACGCGAATGTCTGAGGCTACTCGTGATGCTGGACCATACGATCACTACCCCAGGAAAGCTCTCTGATTGGAGCCTGGGCCTCTTTCAGATTCATTTCAGTCACATTTCAGACACATTTCAGACTCATTTCTGATTCATTTCAGAGCTATCTACAGGCAGTACTTTGGGTGAATTCAATGTCCCATCTCTAGCTGAAACCCCACAAGTGCTCTGACAATTCCGGAAGGAATCCGGACTTTACTGCCAGAATGCAGGATTTGTTTCTTTTTTGGTAACCATCCTCATATAGCGGCATTGTGTTTTGCAGATTGTGAATCTTGAGCAGAAAACGGGCAGCAATGTAGGCGATGTCAAGCAGAAAGTAGGTAGAAAGTAAGTTCGGACATGAATCTCTTGCAGCGAATCCGGACCGAATCCGGGCCCGACAAGCAGAATCCATTGATTTGTTTCTAGCCGGTGAACATCTCAAATAGCAGCCATGTGACCTCCGAGGCTGCTCGTGATGCTGGACCATACAACACTGCGTCAGGAAAGCTCTCTGATTGGAGCCTGGGCCCACACGGGAAGGAAGGAAGTCCTTGCAAGCCTCTTTCAGATTCATTTCAGTCACATTTCAGACACATTTCAGACTCATTTCAGATTCATTTCAGAGCTATCTACAGGCAGTACTTTGGGTGAATTCAATGTCCCATCTCTAGCTGAAACCCCACAAGTGCTCTGACAATTCCGGAAGGAATCCGGACTCTACTGCCAGAATGCATTTGTTTCTTTTTTGGTAACCATCCTCATATAGCGGCATTGTGTTTTGCAGATTGTGAATCTTGAGCAGAAAACGGGCAGCAATGTAGGCGATGTCAAGCAGAAAGTAGGTAGAAAGTAAGTTCGGACATGAATCTCTTGCAGCGGATCCGGACCGAATCCGGGCCCGACAAGCAGAATCCATTGATTTGTTTCTAGCCGGTGAACATCTCAAATAGCAGCCATGTGACCTCCACACAATGAGCGTGGTTAAGCACCCTTCCTCCTCTGATCTCTCTTGTCCTAGATGCGGATGTCTGAGGCTGCTCGTGATGCTGGACCATACAATCACTGCGTCAGGAAAGCTCTCTGATTGGAGCCTGGGCCCACACGGGAAGGAAGTCCTTGCACAAGTCTCCTTCAGATTCATTTCAGTCACATTTCAGACACATTTCAGATTCATTTCAGAGCTATCTACAGGCAGTAGTTTGGGTGTCAATGTCCCATCTCTAGCTGAAACCCCACAAGTGCTCTGACAATTCCGGAAGGAATCTGGACCTTACTGCCAGAATGCAGGATTTGTTTCTTTTTTGGCAACCATCCTCATATAGCGGCATTGTGTTTTGACGATTGTGAATCTTGAGCAGAAAACGGGCAGCAATGTAGGCGATGTCAAGCAGAAAGTAGGTAGAAAGTAAGTTCGAACATGAATCTCTTGCAGCGAATCCGGACCGAATCCGGGCCCGACAAGCAGAATCCATTGATTTGTTTCTAGCCGGTGAATATCTCAAATAGCAGCCATGTGACCTCCACATAGTGAGCGTGGTTAAGCACCCTTCCTCTTCTGATCTCTCTTGTCCTAGACGTGAATGTCTGAGGCTGCTCGTGATGCTGGACCATACAACACTGCGTCAGGAAAGCTCTCTGATTGGAGCCTGGGCCCACACGGGAAGGAAGGAAGTCCTTGCAAGCCTCTTTCAGATTTATTTCAGTCACATTTCAGACACATTTCAGACTCATTTCAGATTCATTTCAGAGCTATCTACAGGCAGTACTTTGGGTGAATTCAATGTCCCATCTCTAGCTGAAACCCCACAAGTGCTCTGACAATTCCGGAAGGAATCCGGACTTTACTGCCAGAATGCAGGATTTGTTTCTTTTTTGGTAACCATCCTCATATAGCGGCATTGTGTTTTGCAGATTGTGAATCTTGAGCAGAAAACGGGCAGCAATGTAGGCGATGTCAAGCAGAAAGTAGGTAGAAAGTAAGTTCGGACATGAATCTCTTGCAGCGAATCCGGACCGAATCCGGGCCCGACAAGCAGAATCCATTGATTTGTTTCTAGCCGGTGAACATCTCAAATAGCAGCCATGTGACCTCCACATAGTGAGCGTGGTTAAGCACCCTTCCTCCTCTGATCTCTCTTGTCCTAGATGCGGATGTCTGAGGCTGCTCGTGATGCTGGACCATACAATCACTGCGTCAGGAAAGCTCTCTGATTGGAGCCTGGGCCCACACGGGAAGGAAGTCCTTGCACAAGTCTCCTTCAGATTGATTTCAGTCACATTTCAGACACATTTCAGATTCATTTCAGAGCTATCTACAGGCAGTAGTTTGGGTGTCAATGTCCCATCTCTAGCTGAAACCCCACAAGTGCTCTGACAATTCCGGAAGGAATCTGGACCTTACTGCCAGAATGCAGGATTTGTTTCTTTTTTGGCAACCATCCTCATATAGCGGCATTGTGTTTTGACGATTGTGAATCTTGAGCAGAAAACGGGCAGCAATGTAGGCGATGTCAAGCAGAAAGTAGGTAGAAAGTAAGTTCGAACATGAATCTCTTGCAGCGAATCCGGACCGAATCCGGGCCCGACAAGCAGAATCCATTGATTTGTTTCTAGCCGGTGAATATCTCAAATAGCAGCCATGTGACCTCCACATAGTGAGCGTGGTTAAGCACCCTTCCTCTTCTGATCTCTCTTGTCCTAGACGTGAATGTCTGAGGCTGCTCGTGATGCTGGACCATACAACACTGCGTCAGGAAAGCTCTCTGATTGGAGCCTGGGCCCACACGGGAAGGAAGGAAGTCCTTGCAAGCCTCTTTCAGATTCATTTCAGTCACATTTCAGACACATTTCAGACTCATTTCAGATTCATTTCAGAGCTATCTACAGGCAGTACTTTGGGTGAATTCAATGTCCCATCTCTAGCTGAAACCCCACAAGTGCTCTGACAATTCCGGAAGGAATCCGGACTTTACTGCCAGAATGCAGGATTTGTTTCTTTTTTGGTAACCATCCTCATATAGCGGCATTGTGTTTTGCAGATTGTGAATCTTGAGCAGAAAACGGGCAGCAATGTAGGCGATGTCAAGCAGAAAGTAGGTAGAAAGTAAGTTCGGACATGAATCTCTTGCAGCGGATCCGGACCGAATCCGGGCCCGACAAGCAGAATCCATTGATTTGTTTCTAGCCGGTGAACATCTCAAATAGCAGCCATGTGACCTCCACACAATGAGCGTGGTTAAGCACCCTTCCTCCTCTGATCTCTCTTGTCCTAGATGCGGATGTCTGAGGCTGCTCGTGATGCTGGACCATACAATCACTGCGTCAGGAAAGCTCTCTGATTGGAGCCTGGGCCCACACGGGAAGGAAGTCCTTGCACAAGTCTCCTTCAGATTCATTTCAGTCACATTTCAGACACATTTCAGATTCATTTCAGAGCTATCTACAGGCAGTAGTTTGGGTGTCAATGTCCCATCTCTAGCTGAAACCCCACAAGTGCTCTGACAATTCCGGAAGGAATCCGGACTTTACTGCCAGAATGCAGGATTTGTTTCTTTTTTGGTAACCATCCTCATATAGCGGCATTGTGTTTTGCAGATTGTGAATCTTGAGCAGAAAACGGGCAGCAAATTAGGCGATGTCAAGCAGAAAGTAGGTAGAAAGTAAGTTCGAACAGATCTCTTGCAGCGAATCCGGACCGAATCCAGGCCCGACAAGCAGAATCCATTGATTTGTAGTAGGACTAGTAAGAGTAGTAGGAAAAGAGGCTGAGCTTGAACATGGCCACTGCCCTTCGAAAAGGTCCGGCAATGAAACCAAAACATAGAAAATAACACATCTTTCTTGCAACTGAAAAGCAGGACAAAGCAATGATGCTGTAACCGAAGGAGCATAGAGTCTGAGATGGTGAGCCGGAAGGTGTTTCAGAGTGGTTTCAGACCGGTTTCAGACCCTTTTGGGGCTGCTGACGGGGCTTTGCCCTTTTCCCGGAAAAGAGGCAGAACTGAAACATGGCCATTGCCCTTCGAAATGCTCCGGCAATGAAACCAAAACATACAGAAAGAACACATCTATCCGGCTCATGAAAAGAACTATTAAACCAAGCAAAGGTGCTGTAAACAAAGGAGCATAGAGTCTGAGATGGTGAGCCGGAAGGTGTTTCAGAATGGCTTCAAACGGTTTCAGACCCTTTTGGGGGCGCTCACGGGCTGCGCCCTCTTTCCGGCCAAGAAGCTGAACTTGAACACGGCCATTTTGGAAATCAAAAGTTCTTAGGTGAATTCTGAGAAGGTAAGCTTATTTCCCCTAAGGGAAGTGTACTAAAATAGAGGTGTCGACTGCCCTCTTACAATATTTGTTTGGTTACGGAAGTTCCAAAACGTTCGTTTTGGAAATCGAAAGACCCAAGCTGAATTAAGAGAACGTAAGCTTATTCAGCTTTAGGAAAGTGTGACCAAATAAAGCTGTCGACTGCTCTCTTCGAATGTTAGAGTACTGGAGTCCCAAAACGGCCACTTCCGGCAATGTGTCTGAGATGGTGAGTAAGAAGGTGTTTCTGACCAGTTTCAGACCAGTTTCAGACCAGTTTCTAGTTGTAGTTGTAGTTGTAGTTGCTGCAGTGGTAGAAGTAGTAGTAGTTGGAGTAGTAGGAGTAGTAGAAGTAGTAGTAGTAGTAGTAGTGGTAGTAGTAGTAGGAGTAGTAGGAGTAGTAGTAGTAGTAGCAGTAGCAGTAGCAGTAGTAGTAGTAGTAAGAAGTAGTAGAAGTAGTAGTAGTAGTAGTAGTAGTGGTAGTGGTAGTGGTAGTGGTAGTAGTAGTAGTAGTAGTATTAGTAGTAGTAGTAGTAGGAGTAGTAGTAGTAGGAGTAGTAGGAGTAGGAGTAGTAGTAGTAGTAGTAGAGTAGTAGAAGTAGTAGAAGTAGTAGAAGTAGTAGAAGTAGTAGAAGTAGTAGAAGTAGTAGAAGTAGTACGACTGGTAAGACTTGTAGGAGTAATCGGAGTAGTAGGAGTAGTAGGAGTAGCAGGAGTAGTAGGAGTAGTAGGAGTAGTAGTAGTAGTAGTGGTAGTAGTGGTAGTAGTGGTAGTAGTAGTAGTAATGGTAGTAGTAGTGGTAGTAGTGGTAGTAGTAGTGGTAGTAGTGGTAGTACTGGTAGTAGTGGTAGTGGTAGTGGTACTGGTAGTCGTAGTAGTAGTAGTAGTAGTAGAAGTAGTAGTAGTAATAGTAGTCGTAGTCGTAATAGTAGTAGTAGTACTACTAGTACTAGTAGTAGTAGTAGTAGTAGAAGAAGTAGTAGTAGCAGTAGTAGTAGTCGTCGTCGTACTAGTCGTACTAGTCGTACTAGTAGAAATCGTAGCAATCCTAATAATCGTAGTACTAGTAGTGCTAGTAATAATAATCATAGTAGTAGTAGTAGTAGTAGTAGTACTAGTACTAGTACTAGTACTAGTAGTAGTAGTAGTAGTAGTTGTAGTAGTAGTAGTAGTATTAGTAGTAATCAAAATGTTAACTAAAAATAGTACTTGAAATAATTAATGATAACAATAGTACTTGCGCGTATACCTTGGGCCGCCCTTGCGCGAAACTTGCGCGATGCAGGTTTTAGACCATGGGAAAAATGCGAGAATAGATCGTATACTAAAAACCTTTCTGGGGTTTTTGGACGGCTCCCATATACAGTAATTAATAGGTCTATAAACCATCTGATAGATGATTTCCTGACGATCTTCACTGCCTGGACCTGCGGGAAACTAGGCAGCCCCTTGGTTAGACGTGTCACCAACTTATAGCTAGGGCCGAATAGGGGTCGCGGCCACCAAGCACCAAGCCTACTTGTCATGTAAAATTGGATTGATTTATAATTAATGGAAATACTCACCACATGTGACCATAACTTGTGTTAACCCCAGAAAGGTTTAGGTTTAGTTTCAACTGTAGAAGTTTCCCAATCGAAGGCAACCATACAAATCTTGATTGTTCATGTTTTTTTCCACCACCAAATTTGGATTCTTCCCCAATTCAGAACGGCAGGGAGCTCTGCAATCTCTATCCCCGCCTGTCAGTGGAATGAGGTGGTTGACCTCGGCACCAAGCCAGGCCGTGGGCGCGTCAATTGGAAAAGCATCGGCCTAAAGTAAGTAAAATGATGGTTATAATGGGAAAATCCCCTATGAATGTAGGTGTGATCCGGAATAAATCTATAAATGGTGGAATTTCTGGGCTGCCACGTTTGATTATCAGAAGCTGCTGCTTGATAAACCTTGACTTTTATGGGATGGTTAATGATTCTCGCTATTGGTACCCCATGTACCCCCCTATGAACAAACTAGGGTGTTCCAATCTCCATGGAGCTGAATATCTACTTGCAGGCAGTTGGGTCGATTGTTGACTAAATGTTCGTAAGTATGAACATTCATGAGGGATTTCACATGATTTGTCATCTTTACATATCTCTACTAACTTTCAATTCTTTTGAACGCATATCCTAAAGATATAAAGATTTCAATGGATTTTATATCAAACATGTTTCCAGACATCCCCTTTCTTGGGGCAAAAAAAGCACCAAGAAACCCACGAACTTTCGCAGGTTCTCCGTGGAAATCAGCGACTTTTGCCGCGCGTCCTCTTCCACACGGACCATGCTCAAGGCCACTTTCCTCGGCGATGAGATGAGAGGAGACCGTAACAAGAACAGTTGTGTAACCATCTACGATCTGGTAAACATACAAAAAACTATTGAAAATGGCCATAGAAATATGAAAAAAATGGTGATTTTCCATAGTTATGTTAGTTTACCAGTAAATAAAGCTGGGGGATATTTGGGGATTTCAGGGGGAACATCATAGGATAATATGGGATATTTAATGATTTAATGGTAATAAATCGATGGTTGCTATTAAATACTATCAAATTACTAGTGAAATCTGGTGAGTAATATTGGGATGTCTAGTTTCCGAACTAAACTTGAATGTAATTAAATTTCAAACGGATTAATGGGTTGAGTATAGTCATAATAATGAATGTGTATATACACACATAGTTGCACGTGTTCAAAAATGATCGATGTGCATGTGTCTAGATTGTTTTGTGTACATATCATGCATACGCTATAATATAATATCTATCTATCTATCTATCTATCTATCTATCTATCTATCTATCTATCTACATAGTTCAGGAGGGTCATATTTGAACCAATGCATCAGCTCCAACCTCAGTGTATATGAACTAGGCCTTCGCCCACAGTTGGGTGGTTTCAAGCCTACTGCAGCCTCGAAAACCATGAGAACAGGATCCTCCAGCCCCCAAAGAGGGAACACCTTTCAAATCAATTGAAACCATCAGCCTAGTTTTTAAATGTTTTTGATAGATACAGCAACAACCTCCAAAAAAAATAGAAAGGCAGTTTGTCACTCTCTTACTAGATTTTTAGTCTTCTTTGGGAGTTGCTACCTTGCTATATTCCCTTTCTTCCCGGGCACCCAACTCTGCAATCAACATCCCGGCCGACTGCATGTGGGTCGCCGGGTAATCTTCTCGATCAGTTTCCGCAACTCTCGCACACCAGCCTGTGAATGGTAGCTTGATGGTGCCATGCACAATAGGGGGTTGAAGTGGGAACACGGGGCTATATTTGGGATACGTCAAGGGAAGTCGTCCAGAAAAGGGATTTGTGCAAAATTGGGAACCTTCCTGGTAACGTGGCGACGGAACCCCTATAAATGCATGGGTTGAATAAGGTTTTCTCATCCGTAGATGGGTAATTGTCTATTGCCATATATTGCCATGTTTGATTAGGGAAGAGCACTCCAAAATCCAATCTGATTGGTGGTTTCAACCCCTCTGAAAAATATTAGTCAGTTGGGATTATTATTCCCAATATATGGAACAATAAGATTCATGTTCCAAACCAACCAGCAATGGCTTTAACATCATTTCGAAACAAAGGTCTCCAAGTTTCCTCTCCACCCATCTTCTCCCATTCGTGTCCTATCGTCCACAAAAGAGCCATCTGGTTTCGGCCTCCCCTGGGATTATTATTCCAGGTAGGGATAGGGTCTGAAGACCACCGAAGTGTAGTCATCTACTGGAATCAACTGGGAAACAATGTTCCACAACAATCAACAAATCCGATTTAAGTCATTAGTCATTACACATACCCATAGGATCCATGTATGCTATATATGGTAACATTTACCATCAATATACCCCAAATGTTAGTACATATACCATACATGGATCCTATGGGATATTCACCCCTTCACGGTCAGTTGATTCGTGAACAATCCTAGCTGACCGAGTCCTTCACGGTCAGGTTTTAAGCGTAGGTCATGGCCGATAGCCCAATTTCTGAACCCCCCCAAGTTTCACCAGCCTATGGGCCATACCCTGCTGAATGCACCAATGCTGCTGTATGCTGCCTATTAAAAGCTCCATGGCGAGGTAGATTCCCATTTTTATAGGATAATTCAGCTCAATCAAGCAGCCAAAAATCCCATAACTAGGTCGTGCCTAGGCACGGCTAAGTTGCCAACTATAATTCCAAGCATTACCTTTTATCATCTTTTATCGTAGATACATGGTGATAAGATGTGATCAGTCATGATGACTTCAGGCAATTTCTAAACCAACAAACATAGTGGGGGTGCACCTCCCGAGCGTAGTTCCTAATCAACTCCGCCAAAGCCTGGGACCAGGTGACCAGCCAAAGAATTCCGGAACAGCCGAGCAAAAAGCACGAATTTCATGAATTTTCATGACAGGTTCATGGGATTTTACATGATTTAACTACGAAAAAATGCGTTTTCATGCGATTTCGTGCGATTTCATGCGATTTCATTTGGACTTTGGCCGGCAACTTAGTGCGATTGATTTAATCAGATTTAATCAACAAAAATGCTAATTTCATTGGAATTTTAGAGGATTCAACCAAGAAAACTGCTGTCATAAGATGTTCATGGTGACTTCCAACCTGGGTTCGTTCTTGAAAATCAGGGAATTTAAATTTATGTATTCGGGGGGGGGGGAACAACCATAATGGAGCCCAATGGTTTGTCAACAAGCGTTTTTATGGTCAGTTAGGTGCTGCCTGCCGCAGTGATCGAATTGTTAGCAAAGTGACTTGAAATAAGTTGGTTGAGTGTTGGGGTGATTGGGAAGACATATCGAACTAGTTAGCTGGGTTTCTAAACCAACAAACACAACTTGGGGCAGCACCACCCCTGTTAACACCTCCAACAAACTCCGAGGATTGAGGGCACCAAACCCAACACACTCTATGACTATATGCAGGAAAACCCTGTTGGATGTGACTTTAAAGTTGTGGGAACTGTACCACAAAGTTGGCCAAACTGCGGCCAATTTCAGGCTACGACACTTGGAGGCAATTCGTGCACAGCTTAGCTTCCTACTGACATTTCCCAAAGGCATTCAGAGAAGTGATGAAACCATATGAAACCCATGCCCATTTCGGGAGTGCTCCAACGTCTATCCGGTTTTTGATGATGTTGCATTTTTCCAGCATATAAATTCCCATATACATATATCATATATCCATATAAAGTAACCACCAAAGAAAACAAATGTCAATTTCCACTGTTTGGTGGTTGCTATATATTCACATGGATGATGTATATATATATACATATGGGGATATAAATGTATAGCAACCCCCAAAAAGATTTTGAAAGAACAATAAAAGCAAATCCCAAATAGTGATCTATATATATAATTATATATACCCTCTGGTAAACTAACAGTTTGCTATTGAAAATGGTCATAGAAATAGTGGATTTTCCCATTAAACATGGTGGATCTTTCCATATCAAAAGCACTTTTTCGGCATCTTCGTAGGGGTAAAAACATGTAAAACCTGGCTGCTGACGCCCACCTCAGGGTGCAGATCCAGCATGTCCTTTGCCACGCCGTTGTTGGCCTTTGCCGTCCGTCCACCAAAAGTGGGGCCCCTTAGATAGCTAAGTTGGTTTATAAATCAAATAACTATGGTTTTTGTAGGTGATATATCTATAGTTAATATTAGTTAATGGGATTATAAACCAACTTATAACTGGGGGGCACCACCTTGTAACCCAGGGTTTTTATGGTGGTACCCTCTGGTTATGTCAAAATAGCTAATTATGGAAAATCACCATGATTAATGGGAAAATCCACTATAAATCACCATTTTCAATAGCTATGTAACAAATTACCAGAGGATATATGGTGCTATCTATCCTAGTATAATCTTAGGGGGGCGGAATTGATGACACATCCTCAATGTCAAGATGTTTTTCAGGGCTGGTTGAAATCCCAATAAGAGATACATACAGGTGTAGCATTGCGTAGTGAAGATGTATCTGTATATGCATATAATTGCATACACATATAATCTGATGCTTGCTGGAAGGATGTATCATGAAGATCGCGCAAGGAAAAGCATACTTACACAACCCAACCAAATTAAGACTTACAAACACAAACAGTAGATTGAAGTCAAAGCTTTGAATGATTACACCTCTGACAATTCTGGAATGGAACATCCAGCAAAATGACTGGAGTTGACATGACATTTTAAAACCTGGAAAGCCGACATGTGATATGGTTTTTTCCCAGTCAACGAGGGTTTTGGAGATGATTTTCAGTGCGAAAAATCCCGGGTTCTTAAAATTGTGAATCCGCAAAACCATCAGTTTTAATAGTAAAATGGTCATCCATGACTTGGATGATGACTGGGTGTACCATGGTGTACCCCTATTTCAGGAAACTTCCAAATGTTGCCGCGATCACATGCCCCACATGAGTCAGATCACTGGATCAAAGCAGCACTCTGGCGAACCTCGTTGGTAGTTTTTGACCCCCTCAAAAAAAAAAACAGGTTTTGACATTCCCTGATGTTCCGGCGAGTTGCAATCGTCTGAGGGATCAAATACTGATTGGCAATTGCCAGTTTCTCCTCATAGACGTAGCCTGCAAGTCGAATAATTTCCATTCCTCGGCACGATCATTTCCAGGGTCTCGCCGGCAGAGCTGGAGAATCCCTCGAATTCTGTAGGAATCTAAAGTGAATATTGAAATGGATGGGGGGAAGCATGTTTGACGGTGAACAATTTCGATATATTTCGATGTTAGAGGTCCCAAATTTCGAATTCAGTTAGGCTATTTAGCAGCCTCCCATGGAGCAGGACCCCCAGATCCAGCAAAATCGCAGCCTTCATTGGCAGCTCTTGCGGGATTAGATGTGGTTCCTGCTCCCTGTGACGGAATGGTATGACAACATTGAAATCGCCCAAATTGGTATCGAGCAGCTGTCCAATAAAGGTCCTGCATGCGCATGCAGGGGCCCCCGAACTTGGAAAACTAGCGACTGACAATGCATTATGGGGACTGGAATCCTCAAGCACGTGGATGTAACACATCCCAATATTCAATACCTCTAAATGGCCCCCCAAAATGAACAAATCCGATACTTAACCCGAGTTTTTAGGGTGGTATGTAGTACTAGGGGGAAGGGATTCCAAAGAGAAAAAGTATGTACAGGAATGATGGAAAAGGCAAGGGCCCTAGTGCGTCATCCTGTGGAAAAAGCAACCTCAAAACCAGACGCAACAACCCGCCGTTGCATCTGCACCGTCCCATTCACCAACCATGACTGGGGGTGATAGTACACATCACCCCAGAACGGGGTATTACGGTATGCCCAATATCAGTGGCCACTTCAGAAACCCAATTTGGAGGTACCTAGCATAACGCTAGGAATGGCATCTAAAGGCTATGTCCGGGGATATAACATGATATAACGTATTATAACATGATATAACCTCCAAAATATATGGCTTTGACAAAGGTACCGATATAACCTCCATTTTAGGATCATGGAATTCCCATTGCCAAGCGGAAACCTCGGATGGTGTTTGCGGATCCGTGGCATGGGCCAAGCCCCGCCTGGGATGGTGTCAGTGACGTTGGCCGTGCAAATGAAGAGCACCTTGGACAAGTCAAAAGGCACATCCTGAGCCACGCGGATCCGGCTGGGATTTTGAGGTGGAAATGGTTGGAAAGAACAGCGAACTTTTGGGAAGATGAAGATAAGATATTTGAGGGGTTGGAAGGATATAGAGCCCGACTTTTAGACAGATAGAACCTCTTGAAAATCTCCTGAAACGCAGCTGTTCTTGTTGGGATTTTGCAGTTTGTTTAAATTGTCCTATTCATGATTAATGATTAATATCTGATTGCTTGGGGGCACCACGACCCCTGAAAATCAGAAGCAGGAACAATGTTCTTTGAAGCCCTGGAAACGATTTTGCTGCCAGCCGCAAGACCAAACAAAAAGCATGTGCAATCCTGCGATGCTTCAATTTTGTATGTTTCTGCTTCAACGATACCCTCCCCCCCAAAAAACAAAAGTTCGTTAGTATATTCTGCCACATGTATGGCCGAAACAAAAAAAAAAACATTTTTTTTATCATATAACATCATAACATATATAACCCATCCATCTCCCGTTCACCAAACCTGACCCAGTTCCAAGCTTCCAAGTAGAGATCTCTAAAGGCTGCATTCTGTTCGGGATCCAGCACTTCGAGCAGGGCGGAGGAAGGGTCTCCACCTTGGAATTTAGCACTGACCTACTCGGTCAACGTTTCCATTCAACCGAAATTTCGCTAGAATCCATCAACTACCCCCTAGTTATGTAACAGAGCTATGGACAAATCCCCAATTGATAGATGAATTCTGGTGATTTACCTATTAAAAGTGCTGGTTTTCCATATCTACTCAGGGGGGAATCACCAGTTTGAAGTCAGAAAACCCACCCCGAAACGACCCCGAAACGACCCCGCAACGAAGGCACGAAAATCTCGGCCCAACTTGTCAACCTCGTCCACCAGAATCACAGGATTCGAAACCTGCCTGGCGCTGAGGGTTCAACAACCCATCTTTCTAAAGGGGCAGAGCAATCCCTCAAATATGGCAGTGTGTCAAGACCTTGTACCCCTGGTGAACATCAAAATAGCTGGTAAATGGATGTTCATCCCCCTAAAAATGGTATTAATAGGTATTGATCCATACCCATATAGAAAAGGAAACTACTTCTAAACTAATGATGAATAACTTTTCTGTGCTTTTGTTGGCTAAGCGGCTATGGCCCTCCTCTTCAGCACCTCATGATGAACAGTATGTCGCTTAAAATCATTCAAAGGCATTCGCTTTTTCACCTAACCATACCCAACCATTCACCAACCCAACCATGATCATTAGATATCATTAGGGGAAAGGGATGTGATTCAATCTGGCTGACTTACAATAATTAACCTGAAAATAGCTGTTATCATACGGCCAGTTATGGAATGATTCCCCGGTTTTTCGAAGCATCACCGACGTCTGTCACCCAAATCGGCCATCACCGAGCAGCAAACGGTCAAATCACCGGCTAAATCCCATGGTCCCATCACCGTGAAACAGTAAATCAGCATTACCCTCTGGTGAACTAACATAGCAATGGAAAATGGCTATTTATAGTGGATTTTCCCATTAAAAATGGTGATTTTCCATTGCTATGTTAGTTCACCAGAGTGTAAAGCTCATTAAATCACCACTGAAATCACCATTAAATCATATCAAATCACCACTGAAATCACCATGAAATCATCCAGAAAAACGATCTCCAGATGAGCCCAGCCCCCCAGGCCCTCAGCTCAGCTCAGCAAAAGTTTGTTCGGCTCGCCTGATCTTTAGGGCCTGGATGATCTTGCCAGGCATTGCTCCCACGTAGGTCCTAGGGGATCAGAAATTGATGTTTAATAAACGGTTCATGATGGTTGATACCCGGTAAACATACCAAAAAACGATGGAGATGTTCCCCATTGTTAATGGGTAAATCCACTATATCAGGAAATGATTAATGATTAAACATAAATAACAAAACTGATGGTTAATGATGGTTAATGATGGTTAATGATGGTTAATGATGGTTAATGATGGTTAATGATGGTTAATGATGGTTAATGATGGTTAATGATGGTTAATGATGCTTATGGTTAACAACTATTAAATGGTTTATTTTCAATAGGTTGATAACAATAGTTGCTAACAATACAATGGTTATATAATGATGGTTACTTAATGATGATTGATAATGGTTAATGATGGTTAATGATGACTGATAATGGTGAATGATGGTTGATAACAATACTGGTTGGTGGTTTCAACCCCTCTGAAAAATATTAGTCAGTTGGGATGATTATCCCATATATTCTGGAAATAAAATGTTTGAAACCACCAACCAGTGATGGTTGATCACAAAAGTTGCTAGTGGCTGGCAATGGTTAATGATGGCTAATAGTGGTGAACAATGGTTGATAGTGGTGATTAATGGATACTGATATAATGGATTTCATCTTCCGCTATTCAAACATGGCTGGCAGGAAAATCCACAGTTTAGTAACCAATCCTCCATTTACATAGTTCTGGGATTTCGAGTTGCCAGCCACGCTAGGGATGTAACAGGTTGGTGAAAGATTCCGACTGAATCATGCGACTCAATGGTCCGTTCGGAACCACAAATGGAGATCACGAATCCCTAGAAAAATGCTACGAATGTAGGTGCTACTACACTGAAAAGGGACCCGGCCCCTGATTTTTTCCCCCTCACATCAGTCAATCTTAGTAATAGTATCATGCCCAATTTTGCTGTGGGTTCAAAAGATGGATGGTTTATCATTGCTTTTATAAACATATACATCATTATAACAACCAATTCCTGGGATTCATGAAAATCGTCAAAAATTCCAAAAATCCCTCCCCGGCCGAGAAGAAACAACGCCAACTCGAGTCCTAGAAATCGACTCGTCATCCCTGAAATTCTCGGGGAAAAAAACGAGATGATCCTCTCATAATCAAAGGTGGCAATGGACAATCCCCATCAAAAATGGGAATTTCCGGAAAGACACCTATAAAATTCTATAAATAAGCCATATTCATCCATTTTCCATTCGAAAAATAATTAATGTCAACCCCGGATTAATAAACCATGGTTTATTAATTAGGGTGGTACTCCTCCAATAGTCATAATCTGATACTTAAATGGTACCCTCCCAATTAAACAGCCGTTTGGGGAGGTTTATTAATCCAGGGTTGACATTAATTAACCTGGAGCCTATTCCTTTCCTCAATCATCTATAATTAATTAATTAATTAACAAATGTCCACCATTGAAAGTCACCCAAACACCACCCCCCCAAACCGTCCACCGCGTCCCTTCCCGTCCTGCGATGGCCCCGAATCTCCGAGACGTCGTGCAAGCCGCCCACCGAGAAGCGGTAGAACTGCCTGGAGCAGCGGTGGTGGTGGTGGTGGTTCTTATGGCTGGAAAATCATGAAAACTATGGCTGGTAATCTGTAAATGAATGGATGTGATATATATATATACGTATATATATATATACTTTATATGATATAGATATAGATATGAAATAAAGTTGAGGGGGTCCCATTGCCAGCTGAAGTTGAGATTGTTAGAGAGTAGAAAGTTCGGAAGCAGTCAATGTTTGACAAAGGCGAAAAAAGTTCACAAACGATTGTGGCGAACTTGCTATCCAGAAAAAACCAGTCAGCACAACGTGTGTTCCTCAATTTGTGGCAGTAAAGAACAATAAGAAAAGAAGCAACTCATTCTGATTCCAAGACAATATTTGCCGGGCAATCATCCTTTCATGGAATTTGGTGCTCACAAATAGCACAACAAAACAATGGAAGATCTTCCGGCCAAAGATTTTTTGTGCGGGCACGCAAGGTTGGAAAGGACACTGAGCTGATCCTTTTTGCGAGCGCTTTGGATCCTTAAACCTGGAGGCCGTGACTCTGTTACCAGAAAAAGGGAGTTTGGGTCACCAGGTGGTGATTTCAATCATATTTGCTAAGACGCTCTAGTAAGCATGATCATGATGATGATGATGATGATGATGAAGATGATGATCAAGATCAAGATCAAAATCAAAACCAAGATGAAAATGATGGCACCAACAACCACCAATCTCCACCGGTGCTAGCCCCTCCCCAGCACAGGCACCGATCCATGGCGCGCGCAATGCTCTTGCCGATGGAGGTCTTTCCAACACCCGGAGGACCCACCAAACACATGATCTTTCCGTGCACGGAGCCTGCGAACGGTTGATCAAACTCGAATAACTGGGAGGACAAAGGGCCCTTCCATCTGGCAATTCTGATGTTCATGGGTCACGAGGGAAACTTACAGTGGATGATGTGGAAAACCCTATGGTTCTTTGAGGAAATGATCTACATTCATGGTGGGTGTTCCACATCTACGTCTTAGTTTACAGGAAGGCACGTTGACCCTCCCGCAAATGAACAGGCCGACCGTGAAGATAGCCCATTGTTAGTGGAAACATCTGGAAACAACTCTTCCAACTCCGAAATGAAGGGTATCCTCCAATTCTGGGAGATAGGTAAATCTACAAGACAATCATCAATTCGATTGTCCGCTGCAAACTGCAAGGTTCAGACTTCAAGATTTCTGAGGTTTACATCAAGATAAACATAAAGTGCGAACTTGGATGGCCTTTCATCCTGGCAGGGCGGACTTCGTTCTAACGCAACGCAACATGCACAATGAATCTGATAGTTGGTATAGTTGGGAGGTTCAGGTTCAGTTCATGGCTAACCTGAAGATGCCCTGCATGTCCTTTTCTGAAGTCGGGTAGTATGAAAAAAATATGAAAAAATCACCCAATTGATTGGCCAAAAAATACAGCAACCCTAACCCTCCCCCCCAAAGGAAGAAGGGCCTTTTAAGAAGCTAACCGCCATGTGCTCAAGGATACGTTCCTTCACATCCTCACACACAAGGAGGGACTGGTAAGCAACAAACTCTGGGGGATAAGCAACAAAAAACGAGGATCTAGTTGATAATATACTTAAGTAACATTGCTTGATTTATGGTAGGTAGATTGGTTAAAATGCAACTTGCACACACACACATAATATATATATATACTTATATTATATAGATGAATATATATATATATTATATATATACTTTGATGAGCCAACAAACATAAGAACCAATCATCCCCTTGTGGCAAGCATTGAGGGGTCAGCGAATGGTATGGAGAATGGGGATGGCTGCCCCATGTTGCCCCCCAGACATTGCCTGAAAAGAACAGATGTTTTTGCACTCCTCATTATGTCAAATGGTGCTGCACACCTTGTTCTACATATATATATATTATATGAATATACCATCTGGTTATGACTAACACAGCCATGGAAAATCACCATTTTTAGTAGGTAAACCCAGGTAAACCATCTATAAATGGGCCATCTATACCATGGCCAATGGCTGTGTTAAATAACCAGATGGTACATCGTGTTTCAGGTGCACATCGTTGCCCAACATGGGCCAACGGCTGGTAAGCCACCGCACCTCCAAACTGTAGTGATCCTGCAGCTGCTTCAGGGCCAAACCCGGGGTGTATGTCAAAAAGATACTACAAGTATCAACTATATTCAACTATTATGGATAAAGCTGTATTATAGATAAAGCAGTACATTAATTATTTTATATTATTTGTATAATATATATATATATGTGTGTGTGCCATATTATATCATGCTATATTTACGAGTATACAATATGATGTTCGACCAGATTCTGCAAATGGAGATCCCATTTTCCAGAGCTTCCAACAGTTACACGAAGGATTGCCTTGCAAGGGATCCAGCATGACACCAAGAACAATGCACGATGCTCACTGCTGACCGCAAAGTGATAAACTCCTGTTGTCTTAATTTTCATTAGTGGAGGCTTTCATTTGTGTTGCAGCATCATCATTTTCGCTTTACCCTCCATCAATATCATCAATCAATAACTGGTTGGTGGTTTCAACCCCTCTGAAAAATATTAGTGAGTTGGGATGATTATTCCCAATATATGGAAAAATAAAACATGTTCCAACAATCAACAACAAAACTGGTGCCTATCCAGCTATCCAGGACGTGTTTCTTGACACCAAGCATGCTCAATTCTTTGACTCAACAGGTCTACCTGACTTTCCTGACTGTCAACATCTGTCAACCCTAAAATCATATCGGACATCTAACTGGTTGGTGGTATACCTACCCCTCTGAAAAATATGAAAGTCAATGGAAAGGATGACATCCCATATATTATGGAAAAATAAAAAATGTCCCAAACCACCAACCAGCTAATAACATCTAATAACCACGGATTTTCTCTTTCAATCGGAGGCGTCTTCATAACATGGGTTGCCATCCATGGCTGAACTCCACGCTGCGGCCCAAAGTGCATCGCCTCGTTCAGGATCTGTTCCGCGCGGTCGATGTCAGTGTTGTCCTGATGCCACATGGTTTGAGTACCAAAAACTGAAATATGTTGCCTAAAGCTACATTGTAAAACAGAGAGAGATGGATAGATGGATATATGTAGATGGATGGATGGATGGATGGATGGATAGATAGACAGACAGATAGACAGATAGATAGATAGATATAGATAGATAGATAGATAGATAGATATAGTAGATAGATAGATAGATACATACATAGACAGACAGACAGACAAATAGATAGACAAACAATATAGATAGGCGATAGGCAAATAAATGTATCATGACCTCAAGTGTTTGAATTGAGCGAGAAACGATAAGAAAAGAATGCTGGATATCCACATCAGCAAGATGCTCATGCGCACACGTCCCATGGGATCGGATTGGCGGTCCTCGCTGTATTTTCCCCAGGGCAGGGCAGTCAGCCACTCCAAATAGCTGCGGCAGACCTTGCCCAAGCCACGAAGCCAACGAAAACATGTATGCGTTGGCGATGCAAAAAATGGAACGGTGATTTTCACCGGCAGAAACATGAGTTAACCAACAAAATGGTAGATTAAGTCGGAAGAACATATATAAGGAAATCTTACCCTCTGGAAATCAAAGGCCGCGGAAATCCCCACTTGTTCCTTTTGGAAAATCACGTGCACATCATCTCTCCGCGATGGATTTGTTTCTTGCATGTTCTTGCCATGTTGGATTCCCACAACGTCTCCAGGTTGTACCCCTCCAACTTCGGCATCCCGACATTGAACTCAGCACTCTGAGGCTCTAAGTTGCCCAGCTTGCTCATTTCCTGTAGGTTGAGTGGCGTTGGGTGGAGCAGCCATTCACTGGTGGTGTGGGTTGACGGTTGATGGGTTGGATTTCGGTTGGGTAGCTTCGACCCACCCTGACATGTCGACGATTTTCCCATATTAACATCATAGCATCCGGCCAATGAGAAAGTACCAGGAGAAACACTGCAATCAACATGTCCAGTGTCATGAGAGAGACCAAAATGGTGAAACATGCTCTGTAAATTCTTAGGTCTGCCACCTCTTACAGCCCTGAAAACCGAAAAAAAAGTTTGGGCTGATGTTTCTTCCACCATTTTTCCCCACAATTGATATAGCTGATATTGATCCCCACAGGATGTGTCCAATTTCCGGCCGATGGGGTTCATCTTCCGAAGCAAAAAAATTGCCTGGTCCATGGCCTTTGCTGCCTCGCTTGGCACCAGGTTGCCCAGCTTCTTGATGGACTCCTGCGCAAGGGAACGGCTGGTGGGTTACAACGGTTACCCTGATCTACTTGAAATATGGATAGATAGCAATAAATATCTGGTTGGTGGTTGACCTACCCCTCTGAAAAATGATGGAGTTCGTCAGTTGGGATGATGACATTCCTAATATATGGGAAAATAATCCAAATGTTCCAAACTACCAACCAGATATGGTTGAACATAAAAGATACTTGAATATGTTGAAATCACCAACCAGTCATCCAACTCACTTCCTACCCTCCTACCCATCGGTGATGAAAGAAATATAAAGAAATTGCATTTTGGTTTGTTCTCTCTCTCCATCATCTGCATTGCGGCAAAGGCGAGCTGGTGGATGCCCCAAATATTTTTGTGAAACTGCGATTGTGTAATTATGGTTGGACAGGAAGTGCCCCCAGTGGTGTGTGTTGGTTTTTGCCATCTAACTTGATACATCTCTGGGTAAATTATAATATTTCACTAACCTGAATTAAGGCCATTTTGGGATGGTTTCCCTTAATAACCATGATTCCAGTGAGGTCGCAGTGAGGTCGTTATAATTTACCCAGATCTACCATTGGACCATAACCGATCTTGACATTTTTCAGGGGACTCCTTGAATGCCGCGATGATGCTCTGCTTGTCATCACGCTCCAGGTTCAGCTCGCGCTTGATGTAACGGAGCTGCTGCATCAGGATGAATTTCCTCAGGGCCAGAAAGGGCCAGAAACAGGGAGGAAACGAAACCAGAAAAATTCGCATTTGAGCAGTGGAAATGGTGGATTTCACATGATTTACCCTCTGGTAATTTAACATAACTATTGAAAATGACCATTTATAGTGGATTTTCCCATTAAACATTGTGATTTTCCATAGCTATGTAAACGTTTACCAGAGGTAAGCCACAAGAATGAACAATCAGCCCCACAATGCCCCACAACAAATAGGGATTTGCCTGGCTTTTGGCAAAAGATGGTGCTTTGACGGTCGATCTCTAGAGACCCTGCCCATGGTCCAACACTTAAGGGATGCCCCATCGGAGTCGCGGGTCTTATTCTCTTTTGCGAACTTGTCCTCAATCTGACTTCGAAACCTCAGAAGCTGCGCGGCCAGCAAGCTGGAAAACCGATCACGTTAAAACCATAGCAAAGAACCAGAAGAATGACAACAACTAGAATACAAACGACTACATCCACTGCAGAAACAAGATGTAAGAACACCAATTCTCCCAATCATACGATAGTGTTTCACTAGAGAAACGGGAAAGCTGTCTATAGCTGCGCAAGGAACTGACTTTGCAATCGCGTCGATTCCAAGTCCTGGACCCAGTTGGTTTACCCTCCAACTTGGCACTGGAACATCCCCAAACGCCCCGTGTCATGAGGAAAAGTCCCCAACAAAAACATGAGGCGTTCCGTTCCCGAAAAGTTCCCGATGTTTTGCCGATGTGTCTTGTTTGATTTCGAGAGGATAATACTTACAATACTTGGACAGGCCAATTCCCAGCCAATCCAACAGAAGCGATGGAAAACCACCATGTTCAATGGCTAAATATCAGCTATACATGGCCCATGTTCCAAAAAGCCATGTTACCAGAGGGAAGAAACTTCGGCAATCGGTGGTTTCTGGTTGGTCCATGTTGATCCAAGACCAAGGTAATGGATCAGTCCCAATCCATCCAAATGATCTGGGCGAAACTTGCGGCCAGCTATTGGGATGATTCCTCTTATTAATCATGATTCCAGGGTTCAGGAGAACAGTGAGGTCGTTATAATTTGCCCAGAAATAATTATGGCATACTATGATGGAAAATACTGCCAATGCGATAAACCCGAGATAAACCATGCTGGGCTCTATCATCATTGTGGGGTGTGGTCTTCATCAGCCACAATTTGCCCAGAAACTTAGGGTTTATGCTTGGGTTTACATGGCTACCCTTGGATGCTTCTTGCAAAAATATCCTCAACTGCTGGGTTTGTATGTCCTATATGATCTATATGTCCTCATGAATGGCAAAATACAGCCGAAACTGATACAGCAAGCTGATAACCGCGCCCGGCCCTGGTCTTTCTTCAAGATCAGGAGGACTTTCCGAAGACGCTCCACGGCATCCTGGGAAGACTTCGCCAAAGCACGGGAAGGGCCCACCTAGCCAAGTTGATTTATGAGTGACTTAACTGGAGATTATGACACATATCTATAGTATTCTATAGTTACATCAGGGTTGTAAACCAACTTTTGACTGGCGGGCCAATTCCTGCACCTGGCCTCTTATCATCTAAAAAAGATTTCCATGATGATCTAACATGGAAACTAAGTAATTAAATATGAATATATATAAGGAAACACTAACACACTCACTAGCAAAATTGCCAACTAAGCATGTTTGACCCATCAAGAGGCCCCTTCAACCTTTCCCAAATCGCGCCTCGCACATGAGAACTTCCTGCAGATCTGCACGTGGCGCAGTGGACATGCCGGCAGCCTTGATGTGGTGACCAGGGTTTTTTGCCAGGAGGGAGAGGATCTTCAGAGTCAAGTCAAACAAATGAATCAACAAATGATATATGATATTGTGTGTATAATATTTACGTAATTTTACGTGTATATATATAATTATGTGTGTGTGATATTGTGTGCATATGATGTAAGATTCACACATATATATATATATATATATGTGTGTGTGTGTTTTTATTTAAAGAAAGATAAAGATCAAAATTGAGATAAGTAGAAAGAGATTTTTGGGGATAGGTCAGAGAAACACTTAGATTCAGATTATACTTGACATTGTTTGATTTCATTAGATAGATCCCCAAATAGGATGAACTTCTTTTTTTTACCGGGGCTTCTCAAATGGGATGAACTGAGCATGGAAATGATGGCTACCCCAAATCGAAAGAAAACTGCAATTTATTGGAAAATCGTGTGCCCTCTAAGTGAGTACACAGAAAATCAATGAAAATTAATGAACATCAACCATCTGTAGATCATTTCCGAGTGCCCCCTGGGATTTTCAACGTGCGTTTTCCGGTGAACTTTTCGCCAAGGGTCTAGGTCTGCAAGCTTCAGAGGGTCATCGAGATTGTAATACCTGAGGCATTTGAGGCATGGCTGGGTCCCAGGTTACCCTCTGGTAATTTAACATAGCTATTGAAAATGGCAATTTATAGATATTTATAGTGGATTTTCCCATTAAAAATTGTGATTTTCCATAGTTATGTTAGTTTACCAGAGGGTATCCAGGTTCTGACGGCCATCGAGATGCCATTT